GTTGTTCTCATCCAGGCACCAGTGGACTACAGTTTCGACCTCGCATCGGTCTGATCAACACCTTCAGCTGGAGTCTCATATTACTGATTTACTGGTAGTCACGAAAACAATACTTAATTCGAGAATACTTTTGTTAAGCATAGGATAGATGAGGTCTATCTAACAGATTTTCTTTCATCAGCTTTAGCTCTTATATATCATACATGCACACACACACACATTAACTCAAACACCTCCAAAATACTTGGTCGACCAGATTATGGTGAACTGTAAGCAAGGTTAAAGAGTACAGGAGAAATGCCGATGGCCCAAGCCAGAGCATTAATGATGATAGACTGTCTAAGACGGCATCCGATTTCTGTGGCATCTGAAAGCGTCGCAGGCGGTGCGGATGATCCGCTCCCACTTCCGTTGAGGTCCGCCTCGACGTAGTGACGGATTCTGGTGAAGAGACTCCTTCTCTCTATCTTGACGTCTAAGACGCCAGGCAAGCAGAATCGAGCTCGACAAACAGACAGACGAACATGCAGTCAGAAATACAGACAGGCAGACATGCATACATAGACACACATACATACAGACAGACGGGCAAGTGTATGTAATCATATAAAAAAATATATACAGACATAGAGATGTACAAAAAGACAGACAAACAGGTAGGTAGGTAGGCTGACATGGATACATGCGAACAGACTAACTGACATATAGACAGACAGACAGACAGACAGATATGCTGATGAACAGAGGACCTTGTAGTTTGCCCCCTTACGAGTGGTACCAGTGTCCCCCGCTCGGCTTCGCGCCGCTAGCAACTAATGCCCTCCTGATGGCAACAGTGGCAATTATGCCCGTCGGATGGGGCTTGCACGAGACGAAGGGAGCGTAAGATGGTATGCAGAAAAAGTGGGCCTCGAAGTGTAACATGCTTCGGGAGTTTGGCGGACATGGTCCTGTTTGCCTCCTGCCTCTTGTCTCTTGCTTGTTTCCGCCTTGGATGAGGCTGTACCAACTGGCTGTTGCTAGCGCCGTAGCATTAGTCTTTGCGTTGTCGAGGCAGGAGCAACGAAGGCGGTGGGCAGTTGGCGTGTCTGTGCGGCCCGAAAGCAATTAAAGCCAGAAACAAGTTCGTCTTGTTCCGGCCAGGCGCAGGTAGAAAATGGTTGCAGCTGCCCGTCGACTTGTAAAGGCTTGTCCGACGCTGCTTGGAGACTTGGCGAATTGGCTGTGGAAAGAGAAGCGCTTCTGAGCTCGTTTCTGGAAGGCTGGTGGCAAAGTGAACCTGAGCTCAAATGTCTTCGGCTGGAGGCCGACTGGCAGCGCTGACGAGGCCTGGCTTGCCATTTTGACGAGTTAAAATTGCAATTGGGATTGCATTTGCGACTACAATTGCCATTTCGACTTGAAGTAAAAGTAGA